GCAAAAGAATGAAGAATAATATTATGAAAATAATAAGCTTATTATTGTTGTAAAAAATAGAGAATATATAACTGTGAAAAATCGAGGGATAAAGTGAAATCATTTTTCCTTTATTAGGTTAATCAATCTGAGATTATAAATTGTTTTAAATATTTATAAGTTTTACTATCAAAGATGGAGTTTTTTTTTTTTTTTTTAAAAAGAATTAAAGACATTGAATCAATTAATATATGATACTTAACAAAGAAATCAATACTCATTATCTATATATCTATATATTTTATATATTGTCATGTACTTAATAATGAAATATAGAAAAAGAATACACACATATATGATTGCTCAATTAAGTGATTATTAAGTCAATTTACTTGTGAGTATTTTAGCTAATAGGAAAACAATTTAAAAGTGCTGAGTAACGAATAAAAATCGTGGTATCAATATAACCACCTACTAGCAAAATGACTATTTTTACATGTTAAATGTCAAGTTTCCCCCTAACTTGTAAAAACAAATATAGAGCCTGTTTGGGAGTGATTTTGAGAATTGATTTTTTGACCGTTAAAAGAAAAGTGAGGTCCACCTGGGAGGGAAGAAATCAAATATGACAGTTGGAATAGTAAAATAACGGTCAAAAAATTAATTTTTTGGGTGAAAAAATCGGGCCCAAACAGCCCCATATTCTCGAGAACTTATGAGTGTGCTAGACGGTTGACAAGACCATTAATAAATGAATTGTCTTGAAAGACATGATATCATGAAAAAGTTCTTAGAAGATGAATGTTTTCTCTACAGCTTGGAGTGAGCTACACAGTTGTAATTGTCACGAGTAAATGAATTGTCTTGATAGTGACCATTTTTTAAAGGAAATTTATAAAATGCACTCAATATATAGGGTGTAATTACACTTTAAATTAATACCTTATTTTGTAAAAAAATACATTTTACATAATATTTCAAAATATATCTTCTGCAGAAAATTTACAACCATGCTATTATAAATAGGTAAACGGATAATAATATTCTTAATTGAAATAACAAATTAAAGTTTATATATTACATTATATAGAGTTTTGTTTATTACATTTCTAAATATAGATATTTTTTTAAATA